CTTATAAAGTAAGAAAAATCAGCTGTCTAGGAAGTAAACACAATTCAGTTGTCTGATTATGATATAATTAGTAAAGTCTTATTAGTAAAAAAAATTCACTTGTCTGATTGTATAAAAATATTTCTGCTGTCTGATTATGTAATATTTTTTTACAGATGTCTGATTATGTAATATTTTTTTTACGGGTGTATTATTATGTAATACTGTTTACAGCGGTCTGATTATATAATATTTTTTACAGGTGTATGATTATGTAATATTTTTACAGATGTCTGATTATGTAATATTTTTGACAGATGTCTGATTATGTAATATTTTTTACAGATGTCTGATTATGTAATATTTTTTTTTACAGCTGTCTGATTATGTAATATTTTTTACAGATGTCTGATTATGTAATATTTTTTACAGCTGTCTGATTATGTAATATTTTTACAGATGTCTGATTATGTAATATTTTTTACAGATGTCTGATTATGTAATATTTTTTACAGATGTCTGATTATGTAATATTTTTTACAGATGTCTGATTATGTAATATTTTTTACGGGTGTATTATAATGTAATATTGTTTACAGCGGTCTGATTATGTAATATTTTTTACAGCTGTCTGATTATGTAATATTTTTTACAGCTGTCTGATTATGTAATATTTTTACAGATGTCTGATTATGTAATATTTTTTTTACAGGTGTATGATTATGAGAGATTAAAAGTGACAAATTTTGATTTACCAAAAGATGTGGATAGAGATATGTTAGAGGTAAATATAACTGAAGATATTTTAAATATACCTTTGGGCTACTCAATTCGAGAGTTGTGCACTTTCAAAATATTGGAATTAACTGAACATTCAATAAAACAAGTTAGAACAAGTTAGAGTTCAGAACATGTCCAACTTGTGCTGAAAAAATAGTAGTTGTAGAACGGACAGAACAATCCACTCAATCCAGGTAGAAATGATGAGCTTTCTGCCTTCTGGACTATTCCTCTTAGCAAAATTAATCGATATTATTATAGAAAAAGATTTAATTTTATGACTTATATATAATTATTTCAGATACATTTAAGTGATGAAGATTTTGACAATTTAATTAAAATGCCAAGAGATAAGTTCTTCAAGCTAGCTGAATGGAAACGAAATGATATAAAGAAAAAATTAGATCTCTACTGAAGCTTTGAGATCATGAAATACACATTGGTGATATTCTTAATTCAACCATTTCAGATCTGCTTTAATACATTTGATACAAGTATATAGCCGAACAAAAATATTTGGGTACATTTAGGGACTTTTTAAACACGCACAAGGCCAGTCTATTTTTATTTAGGGTAGAATATATTGTTATTGAAAGATCACAATCAACTTCTTTAGTGTCGTTTACTACTTAGACTACCCTAAAATAAAAATGGACTGTTCGTCCAAACATACTGGAGCAGTCTATTTTATTTTAAGGTAAAATATATAGTAATTAAAACTGTACAAGTCATTTTCTATTGTGCTATAACTATCTTCACTACCTAAAGTGAAAGTGAACTGGCTGTACTAATGGTTTGAATTGTCAAAAGAGGTGTGCAAATATTTTTGCTGGACTAAACTTGTATGTGCATTTTGAATATCTTTGCACGATTTTCCACAAACAAACTTGGTGAATCTAGCTTAACTCTGTGGTATTTTAGTGGCTTACCAGCTTTTTATGTTTTAAAGCAATTTGTGATGATCTTGTACAAATATTTTTTTTAAAGCAATCAGGGACCTTTTTCTCGAAAACTTAAATAAGTTAAAATCCAGATTTTTAGAAATATAGTCATCTGATTGGATAATAAAACTAAATTTAAAATCAATTCTCGTGATTGACCAATCAAATGATTGTAACACTAAAGTTAAGTTTTCCAGAATAAGGCCCCAGGGCATTGCTTTTTATGTAAAAAAATAATGCATTTTAATCATCCATGCATAAATCTTTAAATATCTGACTCTCATCATTGCTTCCCTATGCAAATTTTATTTTTTCAAACGACATGTATTTTAAGGTAATTCTGATTTTGACAGAAGTATCCTATCAAGTTATGTATCCCTAAGATTACATGAATCAGATAAGAAATTGTATGAATGTAGCCAATTTAAAATGGTGGATGGCCTTTTTTTGACTTTCCAAGAACAACTGGAGAGCGACAAAATAACCTAGTTACAATTCCTTCTGTCTTGCTTTTGTTTGTGAAGCTAATTTTATGTAAATAGTCAACAACGTCAATCTAAGACTATCATTAGTATTTTACATTTTTGTTTATTGAAAAACATCAGAAAATAATACGAAGGTGTAACAAATGTTAATTTGTATGGAAAAAGAAATTTTCATATCAACTCATTTAGTGCATAGTGTTTCGGTTGGGAGGAATTAAGACAGAAACAGACAACAGACTTTTATAGGGACAAAAACCTTTCAAGTCCTTTTTGCACCATGCAAGACTTGTGGTTTAACTAAATGGAATTCTTATGACAATGCTGCAAATGAAAACATGAACACTGAAAGAAATTGTAAAGAGTTTTTATATATTTTTATGTGTATCTGGGACAGTTTGCACCAATCCAATTTTCAGTCCAATGTTTGTGGTTCCTGTAATTATGACTTATTAATTCTTAGCAGCTTCTGCAATAGTGACTTCATAAGAGGCTTAGTTGTAGTGGAATCGCAAAGCCCACAGACATCTGTGCTATCATTGTCCCTAATACACATAAAAAGTTAAAATAATTTTTGTTTTCAATGGACAGTCTGTCGTCTGCAACTAACTTTATATAGTCTGCTACTGCAACTCATGTTATTTACTGTTATTTGTTATACTTAGATTTCAAGTACCCAGTGCAATCATTTTGTATATAAATTACATGTTATTTCACTCTCATTAAGCTAATTAGGCTATGTTCACACTGGTTGTGAAAATGTATATTGCTTTTGTTGTGTTTTAGTTGTTTTGTTTTGTTTATTTTTCGAATTTTTTTAATTATTTGGAATTGGGGGATTTTCTTGTTCCGTTTTGACAGTTTTATACCAATGGTAAATCTAGAAATTTTCAGTGAGCAATTTTGATGCCAAGTTATTGGGATATATATATATATCTAGAGTCTTGATTCTCCAGCAATTCAACAACAGCTGCAATGAAATTTTATGTTATGTGTATTTAAAACCGCCTTTATATCATATCTATTTGCAATATTATGTTATTATACTTAAAGTCATTTGATGATTTAGTCTTAATACTGCCCTGTATATTTTTTATGCACGCTTATTGAAAATGAAATCGACCTGTCTCTTTTGCTACAAGGTAACAATAGAGGTTTTTAAGTTTTGTATATGTATTGGTGAATACATAGTCCTGGTGATAGTGACGTCATATTCTGGAATTTCAGGAATCTCTGATGGAACATTCAGAATGGTGCATTAAAGACATCAAGTACAAAGGCTTAAAAACCTACACTGTTAAGTAACTTGAGAACGAAGGGATGTTATTTTTTCACTAAATTTTGGCCTTATTGTAGTAGGTAAGCGATCAGAGGAACGCTTGAAATTGGCTGCTTAGTCACGGTGATTGATTAAGGAATAAAATTATAAATAATGCACCCAAATAATGTATAACTATAAAAAATACCATTGTGTAACTATAGGAAGTACCATAAGTTATTTTGTCAAGATAGTAGTTGGGAGAAACATCCCTTTATAGTCAATCAAAGATTTTTTTTGCAGATGGAGTGGTCCACTTTATTTTTAGGTAGTTTATATAACACAATGTGTCTGATATTGCCTAATAAGAGAGTCAATTACTCCCTATTCCATCTCAAAGTAAAGTGGACTGCTCGTTCAGATGTTAAGATAAACATCCCTTTACAATTAAACTAAGATAGTTGGGCACATGGAGCAGTCTACTTTATTTTAAGGTAGCTACTTATGAACACAATATGTCCAGCTAGGTCAAATACAGTGTCAATAACTCTCTAAACCACCTCAATATAAAGTGGACTACTCCTGTTTGATACCCTGCATGTGCACTTTTATCTTTGCTTGACTTGAACATTTACATGTACCATATTTATGTTGTGAAATTGATGCCTTCCATTTTATATCATTTGCTGTATTTACAAATATTTATTGCTTGTATACGATGTCTTACTGCTCCCAACTCTAGTCTTAGCTTGTAAATCCATTTAATTTTTTTTCTAATATAAAATGCAAATAAATTCATGTATACATCTATATTTTACTTATTGAACTCAAATTCTGTTGAGCTTAAATGTGATCAGAAAGCGGTTGATCCCCATGCTGAAAATATTTGGCCGTTAGAGCTCAATCTCTATCCGTGTAACTTTTCATTTGGATAATTGTCGTCGTTTGTACCTGTAGGCCTATGCTATGTTTATCTTATCCAGACTTCGTAATTTCATTCTGAAAAGTCATAAGCTATAAGTGGTGAAATTGAGCACTATCAGCATAGCATTCCAGGATATTGAGAGGTAGCAAAAATAGTCATCGCCACAATAAAAAGTTTGACCTGTACCGTTATAAACACCATATTCAATGCTGAAATTAAGTGTGATTATTAGACCGGACGTGCACAAAAATTATCTTTGCTCGACTATACTGCGCCATGGTCTCTTAAAGAACTAAAAACAGAAACTGCCAAAGTGATCATCGCAGGCTGTTGCTTAATTTCATTATAAGCTTACTTGAAGTGCAGGAGAAACGTGGCGCATAAAAATCTTACTTATCTCACAAATGGTATTAAATTAACATTTGTTGATGCCGCGGTAATTTTCTAAAATTATACAACCAAATTAGAAGAGACATACATCCAACGCCTTCCCAAAAATCCAAATCCTTGGAAATTATCCTAATAACTAATCCATCGTCGACGATGACGTGATAGTGATAATAAGCCTACGTCATAACATTGAAAGATAGAAATTTAACATGAACGTGGCTGGTGAGAAGGCTCAAGTTGGAGCTCAAATAAACGTCGTTAATCCGAATGTATATAACACTTGTATTAAAAACTACGTCACCGTGTTGCAAGGCACTCAAGAAAATTTTAACGAACAAATTAACTGTATAAGAGCAAAATGGAAGGATATAGAAGCAACTGAAGACGCAACCGATGAAACAACAGTTTTGGTAGAAAAAGTTACCGATAATGCCGAAGAAATCGCGAAGAAATTGAAATCTATGCGCGAAGCCTTGAAACAGAAGGTTGTATACATGAATGAATTGCTGAACGAAGTGGGTAAGTGGGATACAATATGCATTCGAGTTTCCGAATAACTCTGTATTTACATTTAATGCATGTTATGCTTTAGCTGGAACTGGCTACTATGTCATGACCTGAACAGATATGTCTTGAAAGTGACTCATATCAACCATGCTAGTAGCAGAATCTGAATGAAACGCTGTTATGACCAATTGCCATCAGTCCCTCATGTTATTCCTACTTATAGCAAAAGCTTGATCTTGTCCTCGTCTGCGTGCTCTTGGTTTGCGGTCATTTAGATGATTGCAGTAGTAATCTTTTTTTTCCGGTCCGACCTAAGGCCACCTTGAAAACTATGCGTGAAAAAAATAATCCAAATGCAATTTTATTTACAAACATGTCGTCAAAATCATAACCAGTAACCGATCTTTAATTGGTGGAATGTCAGTGATAATGCCGGCTAATGCGCTGTCTTTAATTAGATCAAGTTATGATGTTTCTGAGAACAAGGTACATATTGGTTTCCGTTCTTATTCAAAACTTTCAGTTGCGTTACGGGCAGACTGTAGTGATGTATTGACAGTTAGTAAATGGGCGGATTGTGAAGAAGAATATATGCAAGCTGAGGAACGTATTGAAGAAAGGAGAATTGAAAAGTTACAACAGGAAAGAAGTAAATATATATATTTTAAGACGAAAACTGACATCAGCTTGTTGGACAATTGGATCATTTCGGTTGTGAAATAAAGTCCGCATTGTGATTAGAAAATCTATCCTATGTCAAGCAAGAGATTTTGCTGACGTATCTTCTGGGTATTGACAATTTTCTATCCGAAAGTTGTTGTATGGGTTCACTGTCCGCAATTGCAAAGGTTAGATATCTGTCATACGATTCTTTCGATTCCGTGTCATGTCCGTTTTCGTCCCTCAATTTATTTCATGCCCTCTCAGATGTGGTACGCCATATCGGACATATTACTCCATCTGTTGGAGCCAAAATGTTATTCACATAGACATAAAGACTTCAGATTTACATTCCTCGTCGTTCTCAGCGCCGTCCCATGATGGTTCCATCCCATCTTTTCAAACCTTAAAAAAAATACGAAAGTAGGTTTGTTTAGATATTTATGGTACAAAATGTTTCAAATTTGATGCATTTCCTGTATTTAATTTTGCAGAAGAGTTGGAAATGGGATTGTCAATTGTTAGAGCTCAATATAAAACAGCTTTGAGCGACTTGTGTGAGGCGGATGAAAAACTTCAACGCTTGAAAGTAAGAATGTCATATATTTTTGGAATGTGCAATATATCATCCAGACCCTATTCTGATTTGAAAATATTCGTGATAGTATACTTTTCGTCACGAGTCGTGGGACCATCTTCTGTGCTTGATCATCCTCTACGGATTAGGGCCATGAATAACTTCCTGCTACCATTAGGACTACAGATGTCATTACGAGAGTGTTTTTGGTGCATCTGTATCAGATCAGTAGGGTCTTATATTACAGATGGTAGTAGAAGAACTGGAGGATACTAAATCAAGTGAAATATCTGCCTGGCAAGAAACTGTGCGGATAAAAGGTATATCACAATCTTCTTTTAGAATTGAGATTGGACTTGCAGAATCTGAATCTGATAGTATCTGGATTTTCAACGAGTAACAGCAACAAGTGGCAACTTCGGGGGTCTGATAATCATTGGATTTGGACCTGAGCGCACCAGCGACTTAAAAATAGCACATGTCGTTAGCTGCTCATGTTTTATTTTTCAGCACAAATTGAATTTGTTGTCGACCCGAGCGATCGGTATATGCGACCATCCAAGATCCCAGTCTGCAGTTTGTCAATTTTCTCAAATTATCGTTCTTATAAGGATGAATAAGGTGTACATAAAAAAATTTGTACATTGCAAATTTTGAAAACTGAAACGGTGATGACACGCTAATGTGGATTCAATGCAATTTTTGTTATCCATATGTTTAGATTCGACCAAGAAAAGGAGCCCAGAAGATATCAAGATTCTAAAGAAGAATATTCAAGAACTAAGGAAAAAGGTCAGTAGATGGTCGACATTGCATCACTATGAATGTTCGTGATCAAATTAGTCGAAACTCAGATTGCAAAAATGAAAATAGTATGAGAAATATTAAATTAAGTCCACAGTCCAGTAGGAGTGTAGAGATAGCCTAGGGGTAGGGAGTTATCGGGAGATAGTCCCTGCAACTAAAAAATAATGGACTTCCCACGTTTACAGCAGTGGTAGGTAGTTCATTTCCTTTTGTCGGTAAAGTTGGTTGAGTCCCTCTATTATACTGGGAAAACGTATTTCTTTTTTTTTTGTTTTTGGTATGTTATTATGGCACCATTTCAATTACTTCGGAAATTTTACATGAATATTGCCATAATATTTTGGCTCGACGCTATAATAGTTACCAGACTTCATCTTTTTTTCATTGGCTGCCCAAAAAAATATTTTCTCTGGTCCATGATGAACGATTGTTTTGTATATTTAGATCGAAAGAATGGAGAAACGTAGACGCAGCGAGAAAGAGGAATATAGAACACTGCAACAACAATGTCTTGATGCCGTCGATAGAATGAAAGAATTGAATAGCGCGATCATCAATAGAGACGTAGTGGCTCTTGGAATACAGTGTAACTTAGATCAAGAGACCACTACTGAATCTGAAAATAGTCAACCACTCAGTATTGAAGATATTTCAACCTCTGTTATTACTTGTTAATGTTTGTTAATTGACCTGTGATTATATGATCGCTGTTAACATTTGTTTTTAGATAATTAATTATATCATTAATGAGCTTAATTAGATTTGTTATTTCGAAACACCACGAAGACCTCCGAAACTAGAGATCAAAATGGTCGGGCAAATCTGACTATCGCGTAAAGGCATTTACCTGATACATATCCATTCTGTACCATTCAAGATTGACTCGAGTCGTCTTGCAAGATAAGCCAATCGTCCATATGTAAAAATTGACCTTCTACTTGCAAAATTTGTTATCAAATGGATAGTCGGAGATTCCGACAGCCCAGGTCGATACAAGATCCATTAACTTACGGCAATTACCTGTTACCCAATCTACTAACTGATCGGATTCTCTCACTTGCTGGCAGTTTGTCCTCTGATTCTGTCAGCTCCATCAGAACCTCTCGTCATGTTTAGCTTTGAACGGGAGCTTGGGAGGATTTGACTATTATGTCTGATGAAAGTAATTTCAGAAAAAATACAATGGAAAAATACAAGCATTACCCAGTTTCCTCCATGAAAAAACACTGAGCCTACTTTTCTAAGAGCAGATATGGGAAAAGCGTCTATTCGTTCGGTGTGTAGGCTACTTTTACCCCTTGCAATCGGAAACCTAAAAATTAGTAGCCTTAGTCTCATGCATGACTTTGCCCGTCTTTATTAGGCAAATAATACTAGACTTTCATTTCATATTCTATCTATGCATAGATAATAGATATACACGGTGGCTTCAAATTTCAAAAATTTTCAGTAAATGAAAGTGATGAACTTTATGTTTATAGATACCGGTACTTTATGAATGTTTAACGTAGAATAAAAAAAAGACTTGGCCTATGTGAGCCACCATAATTATTCGCTACTGTGTCAGCACCGAGTTTCCATACCATGACACGCCTTCCCACAATACACTTCATTGTTTGAATCAAAATGGCTGATCAAATCACGCCAAGTCGACATGAAAAGAGTTTGGGGTTGTTGACAACTAAATTTGTTAGCTTGTTACAAGAAGCTAAAGATGGAGTTCTTGATTTGAAAGTGGTGAGAATTTTCCACTTTTTGCAGAACCATAACAACTTCATTTTAGCTTTTATTGAACGCTGAAAACACTTGACCTGGCTCCTTACACACTCTTCTGCTCAACTAGTCACTCACTGACAGTCACACTGTCTCTCATGGAATGCATGAGTTTTGCTGACATCATAATAAAAAGGCCTAGAATTATCTGGAAAACGTTTTACAACCCTATTTATATTCACTGACCAACAGTAAAGGCCTTTATATACACCAGATATAAAATGACCTGTACGAATGACAAAAAAAATGAAACACTATATGACTATAAACTGCATGTCATAAGTGGCATAAGACTATATTCTGTGTAGGCTATGGTACGACACAACAAGGCACGAAGTTCTCTGACAAATCATTAAAGAAAAATTCCATGTCTTCGTTGTCCATTTACCTAACAAATGACGAAGCTGTACAATTTAAACACAAGCAGTCGACACACTCTTCGGACAAATATAGACCAAAATGGACCTGAGCACCATATTTGACCTCATATATTTAAAACACTGTCGAAGGCAAAATTAGGCACACAAGTGTTTTTATTTAATGATAGGCTGCTGATCAGCTGGCTGTGAGACAGAAAAGAAGAATATATGATATAACTAATGTTCTAGAAGGAATTGGTCTGATTGAGAAGAAATCAAAGAACAGTATACAATGGAAGTAAGAACAAATCATACCTAATTTTTTCAAATTATCTTATGGGGGTGACGTTCCCTTACTCTTGACTCTGGTACTGGAGTATTTTTGTAAGTTTCTTAAGTGTCAAAGATGCGATATTAATCCATTTTAATATCTAAAACTGCCCTAATCTGAGCCCTAAAAAGACCTTAAATTTCCTAATTTTAGCCCTAATTACCCCTGATTTTTCGTTAATGAGTGCTGGACAGCCTGAAAGTTATCTCTTCATTCTGAAAACAAATGTCAGTCTATTTTTTTTTATTTCTGAAGAAGATACCGATGCCAATTCAATTCATCTTTTTTAGTTACTTTAAACTGACATTCAATTCAATAATATTTTTGTGAATTTGAAGGGGAGCTGGACCAGGTTGCAATACAAGAGAAATATCAGATAAATTGATGACATTGAAGACAGACCTAGCAGAATTAACAAAAAGAGAAGAGGAGATAGATCAACATAAGATGTGGGTTCAGCAGAGTATCAAAAATGTCACAGATGAAGTAACCAATACTCGGTATCCTTTGACAAACAATTTTTAAAATCTTTGTTGAGTGTTGTAAGAACTGGGACTGTAATCAGGGCTGGGTAACATGATCGAAATAAGCGATCATCGTCGCTACGATTGTATAATTTCAATTATTGATTATCAAATTTCATAATCCATTATTTGTACCTGTTAACAAGTAGTAATTTCTTCCATATTGGTTCCCTTCAGCACATAATTTACCCACTGATGAAAGCAAGAATATACGTCTGACGCAAAATTACCCATGAAATTAATTATTTTGGCATTTTTTCAATTTATTATTTACAGGGTTTCTCAATTAAATTATTTTGGTTATTTATTGATTATTGATCAGTAGTCTGTCATCCATAATCGATCCGAACTTCACAAACCGATGTAGCCCTAGCAACTAATCTATTTTGTGGTTTCCGGTAAATTTCTCAAAATCACAGACAGTACATCATGATTTTCTTACCTTGAAGGTGATTCAAACTTAAGGCACCTGATCACCAATGGTGAAGATTGCTTTTCTTAACAATAATTAAGATTAGCTTATGTGACACATGAGGATACATGTAAATGTTTTAGTGGTGATACATTAATTGCTGTACAGGCTCCTTCGGGTACACAACTAGAAGTACCTATACCAGAAATAGTGAGTATAACCTTATAATAATTGATTACCAAAACTGATCAAATTTTCTCAAAATTATGATAAAATTTGGTAAAGTTATGGATTATATCTTGTATTTATGTACAATTGTGTCAGTAGCCCTAAAAGCATAATATTCATGGAATTAGTTTAATTAATCCTATTGATAATTTATTCGTGGTATAAGGTAAATGCTCTTGTGTATGTTTTGAATTCTTTTGACATTAACCCTTTGATCACAGAGTTTGAATAGATTAAAAAAGTCATAAACCCCAAAACTTCAAGACTTCATGACGTATTATTGTATGACATGACTTATAATATCCACTTCACTGGCTGTCAGGTATATATCACGTGTAGCCGGAAGAGCAGATGCTAGTGTTGGAAAGGTTAAAAGAAAAAAAAAAACCACCAATTGTTGAACACTGGGAGAAAATTTGTAATCACAGTTTCTCCATTTAAACTATTTCAGGGTGCTGATTTTAAAAAGAATTATCAGATACATTTAAAGTCTCATTCTGGTGCCATCAATGTATTATTAGTTAATAAAGATACAGAAGCGTCATCACCAGTAGTTGTTCAGGTTCCACCTCCAGTTGATGATCTGATCAACAAGTCTGAAAATGAAAATCCTAATCCTACTTCAAAATCTACCCGTGGTGCTGCTAAGGTACTTAAACTTATATCTTTTGGTGATATTTTCTACTGTGGATGTGGATGCAATGGAAAGATAACATAATGCGCAAAAATAGTTATTGTTGTGTTGGGGAGCATAGCTTTCAATACTTTTGCACCAAACTTATTTATTTTGGAAGGATGATTTAGGATGTAAATACTGTTTTAGTTTTTAGTTTAGTTTCTGGATTTTCTAAAATTCATTTCTTATTTGTTTATTTATATTGTTCAGTTCATAGTCAATCCAGAATTGTGATGAATGTTTTGTGTTCTTTTTGCAGAAAACTGGTCCAAAATCGCCTTTGAAAACAACTCAACAACCCGCCTCACTTGATATTTTTCCTGTTACCAGAATGGCTACAAGATCTTCACCTCGTAAAAATAATGACAGTTTTCAAGGTAAAAATAGTAGTTATCAAGTAATGCCACATAAGAGAAAACATATATCTGTATATCTGCTTTTTCAGAGCTTAATTTCAGTCCAGTGTTCTACATTGAGGATATCAAAAATTGTCCTCTTTGCACAATGCATGGCGTTATCATGTCATCATTGTATTTTTCAGCCACAAGTTCACTATCATCCAGACATTCACCATCACTGCCTGGTTTAGATCCATTTTCTTCTGATTTACCGTTATTAGATCCAACACGTGCAGATATGTTAGGTAAGTATCTTATTGGTTTCTTCACTGAATGCTCGGTTTAGGGCTGGCTGATATACTGGTATCATGATAAATACCAGTATAGGAATTTATATCGTTAGTCATATCGTCTAATTAAAAAGTACCGAAATATCTCCATATCGTAATATATGTTAGTTATCGTGATTTATCAAATTTTTGTCCAGATAAGATGTTTTTTTCATGACATTCGAGACTGGAGTGTTTTTAAGAGAAATTTTTTTTTTTCTTACATTTAAAATTTCTAGACAGAAAAACAACATTTTGTATCAAAAACCAGTAAAAATTGGTATTGCGGGATATACCCATATGATATATTACTGCTTAATATTGTGATATCAACTTACACCAATATCGCCCAGCCAAAGCTCAGGTGTATATTGTAATAATTTGTCCAGCTGGTTGGTGCTAGTGTTGAGAAGCTCCATTTCAGTAGTCCCTCTTGGAGCTAAAATAAGGCAATATTAGCTTGTAAAACATTTCGATCTTCATTTTTAACGTCCAAATAAAAATTAATATATGTTTGAAATATTAATAAATTGTTTTTAAGATGTGGATGGAGAATTTATCGAAGAGTTAATATCATCAGATGGTAAGTCAATTTTTAAAGCAGAATTAACTGCAATCATTTGGCAAATTTTGGATTTTCCACCAGGTTCCTCTCTGTCAGTGATGCAAGGGCGGACATGCAAAAATCGTCTTGTCATAAGGAGCTGCAGATCGAAAAGAAGTAGGTTAATGCCATTTCCTAAACTTGCCTTGTTGCACACTGCATGGCATTATCTTAATAAGAATTAAGCCCAAACAAAACCTTCAGTCCAGCAGAGATTCATTCATTGACAGTGTCGAAAAGATGGCACCTCAAAAATGTCAGAAATGTGTTCTCTGGGTCTGTAATTCTTCAAATTAGTATAAAATCTGAGCCCCAGCACTAATTCATTCCTGGTGACGGTGCTGTGTAAAAATTCATCCATTTGTGATGACATTAGAATTCTTCTTTTTTTTCAGCTTTTGCACCTTTATTACGATTAAGTCCAGTACCAAATGATCGTGACTACTATTTTAATTTAGATGATAGTGAAGGTGTATGTGATCTATTTGATGTACCATTGATTAGTATGTAAACAACTTAAGTCATGTTTGATTGCTAAAAATCATTCTTCTTGGGACTGGTTAACTTAATCTAAAAACACCAGAAAATAATCAAGGTGCCATTTTATGTCCATAATTGAAATAGAGATATAGTTATTTATTGATGAAATTACATTTAAAGACTATTTGAGTGATCTTGTTGTTAGAATGTCCTGGAGTCTTAACTAACTTCAAACACTGTTTCTGGGATATCCTAGTGCTAAGATAGTTTCGAGTATAATGTGGCCTGAAAAATTAAAGTTATCTTAATTGGAGTTGGGGTAGATCCTGTGAATGGTCGAATCTGAGATAATCTGGATTTTTAAAGACTTCTGGCAACTGCCTGCATTCTTTAAATCTGATTAATCGCAGTGATCTTTAAAAACAAAAAAACTGTTGCAGTCAGTTTTTCATGTTTCATGAAAAAATATTGGCATGAACCCTAGGGGGTCAAGGGATTCGATTCATTGATCACAGTTGATCAATTTCTTTGTAATAAGATGCTTTAGATTGCGGTTTATGAGGAGTTAAAGAAATACAGTACTATTTGGTAGACAATAGAAACTGAAGTTAATCTATTGGTAAGAGACCTCAAGACTTCCAATTCATCCAATTTGTAAAAGGGTTTTAAATGTCGAAATAAAAAAGGTGAAAATATTTAACTAATTAAATTTGTATCATGTCATGTGTAATAAAAATCCCTTTTTCGTTAACCAAAAATCTTGTCCAAAGCAAAACAAAATCGGAAGTAATCGCTTCCTAAAATGAGCAGTATTTATGTCTGAATAAAGTTTGTCCATAGCTGTACATGGGGAGGTCTAGTCATGACTTGTGCCTTAAATTTGGATCCCAAGTTTAAATGAGACCTTTACGTGTGTTAATAAAAAAAATATTAAATAGGCCACAATACAACATTGCAAACCGATCATATTAGAGTGGTTACCCCTTAGACAATAACCCTATTGACGAATTGGTAGAGTTCCTCTACCTTTCAGGGTGTTGTAGGATATTTGACCAAGATAAAAGATTTGAAGCAATCGAACATGAGCTATATTTGTTATAGAAGTTTGTTAAAGAAAGCCTATGGTGCCTGTTGTTTATTTGTAGAATTAAATGTTACATGTTAAATTTTCATTATCATATAGAATTATGACTGTAATCGGTTGAATCTCATATTCTTAATAACTTAATAATCATTCGTTTCAAAATATAAATAAATCTTTCAAAATCAGCTTTGACTATTTATTTTGCCTACATCCACTTGGTCGACAAAATTTTGGACCGCTATAGCCCTCCATAAAACATCAAGAAAACGCCTATTTTGTAACATGATGAAAATTTCTGTGCTTTGTTTTTTGACAACTTCATGTATATCAAACACATTTATTGCCTTACAACGTGTGTGACCAAGGTTTCCGTCGGACCAATATTGTTTATGCCCGCCCGTTCTGCAGTTGCTTATGTTTAAAAGTCTGTATTCGTTATTTCGGCCCTGCGCAAGGTTCTCTTTGAATAAAACCTTCGATTAGTTTGCTTTGAGAGCTTGCGATTAAGTTGAAGTTCGCCAACTGACGACCGAAAACTCGCAGTTGCCATACAGTTGCTGGTAGTCGTTCAACTCTCCCTCAAAACAAAACCTGTTACACAAAACCAAATTTAATGTCTTTGAAGTGAAAAAGATACGCGTGAAAAAGCTTTCATTAAATTGTGATAGTAAGTTTTTTGTGAAACATTAAAATCATCTTTGCCAATGAATGGTTTACCGAATCCGAATGGGTAACAAAAGTAAAGGATTTTAGAGAAGCACCTTGCAGAAGGAACAACGATAGACACAAGGAATGTTTATGGGCGGTAATGAAACATAATCAGTTATATTCAAAACCCCAACTACTTTATTGACAGATCACGTAACTTTTCTTTATTGCACAACTAAAATGGATTTCAACATAAAACGTTTATACTTCAATTGCTGTATACAATTGCTCTCTTAATAATAAGAACAATAATAGTACTAATAATGATGATGGTAATAATATTAAACATAATAATAATAATATAATATTAATAATTTTGATTAGATTCTCAATTGAGTTTCATTTTTTTTCAATGCTATAACTTAGAAATAAAACGAAGAGGCAGTCCTTTGAGTTGAGCAAGTTCCGGGCACACATGTGCGTCCGTTGAATTTAAGACCTGGTATACAAGACCTTCCATATAATCTACCATAAACACAAATTGCATATCGACGGCAGTCTTCCATGCACTCGTATCTCCTACCATAGGTTGAACATTTTCTGCTTTCACAAGCCACCTCGACTGTACACTTGGTGTTGACTTTACATACTGGAATAAATATGAACACTTATAAATATGGGTTATTTTGTAAAGGATTAACTCTCATGTGACAAATAACCACTGCCCGTAATATGGTCGCTAAAAGCCAATTAAAATCATCATAACTGCACAGTACTAAGATCACTGATTGGTTAATGACTTCGCATTGATAATTTAATCTATAAGTGTCCAGATACTATAGGTCAGATACGATACATGGGTCATGGCTCATAGCTCGTGCTTTCAAGACCGTAGCGCAATGGAGGCAAATGCTTTACTTTTGACCAACCTTTAGAAGTTTTTTTTTAAATCCGCCCAGACCCCCTTTGTCTCATTTTAACTTGGATTGCTCCCCGGTCTTGGCTTCCAATTTGCATGGTTTCGCCGGAAAGGTGGCAATAACGTAAAAGTCGGTAGGCATGCCAATGTCAAGGACTTTCTGGATTACTACTCAAAACTAATGGATGGTTTCGTGACAAAAAATAAATAATTTTGCACATACAGTACTGATACAAGATAGTTAAGAAGAGGCATACCTGCTTTCGGTTTAGGTGGTACGACTGGTTTAGGTTGAAATATAGGCATAATTAGTGGACTTGGCTGTGTTTGACCATACACTGGTCCAGACTCGACCCATGGTAGTCGATCTTTATAATCACAATAAAATGACATGAAGAAATCTTCGCCCTCGAATATTGGACACTCTCTATCTTGCTTGTAGCCCCAGACTTGTAGTAATGATTCGCCATAAGAACTACTGTATTGTTTGGGGAAATCCGGAGTGATGTCAACCACACCGGAGCATGGGCGATATTTAGCTGGATTAGATCCTGGTACTCTACAGGCCGTGTGACAAATTCTTCCACACTGATCAAACGCACGGAGTAAAGCAGTTGACTTTCCAGAGATTCCAATATCTTTGACGGCTAAGTAGGCTATACTGATAGAGGTAGCTAGACGCTGATCAATAATGGAAGATTCTGAATAATATCCTTCGTAATTGATACCTTGTGAAGAGATGAATATTTGTCCAATACCATGAGTGTCTTGACAATTGCCATAACCTTTAGGCTCAACAGCCCTGGGTCTCACATATTGGTTTACAGCTGTGTAAGCTTTCGGTTCATAAATGTCGTTCTTCGTCATTACTTTACCATTTCGTACTGGATATGATCCGCTTCCACTGAACTCGGGAGCTCTGTTGGAGATGACTTTAACAGGGAAATAAGACCATTTGTTTGTGTCACAAACACCATCAATACAGAATGTATTTTGACATGTTCTTGGAGCTTTAATATATCTATTACTATCGATGCAGTTAGAAGGCCTAGGATTAACTGGTGGAATAGGATTTATTGGAGGTCCTGGATTAACGGGTGGCCTTGGATCAACAGGTGTCCACGGATCAGTTGGGGGATCAACAGGTGGTCCTGGATTAACAGGTGGTCCTGGATTAACAGGTGGTCCTGGATTGACTGGTGGTCCTGGATTGACTGGAGGTCCTGGATTAATTGGTGGTCCTGGATTCACGGGTGGCTGCAAACTTGGATTGACAGGGTAACATCTGTAACTTGTTCTGTTACATGCCAAATATATCGAACCACAGTCGGGGTTTGTGCGGCTACATTCTGGGGATGGTTGGTATTCATAATCCGTTAATGTCGCGTACATGTCTCTTTGGGTGACAGTAACATTACCAGTTGGTAATTGAATGACGTTTATAACTGTATCTCCAGTATGAAGAGGTAGATCATTTGATTCGGGATATCGAGTAGGGTCACCTCCTGCAGCCAAAGTCTTCTGTCTGAATTGTTCCCAAACATAATCAATATAAGCATGATGCATGAAGAAAACTGGATCAAAGGATGCTGTATCAATACTTTCCATTAAACCACCTACATGGATGTGGTAAGAACCATGGTGATATTCTATGTCATGTTCTAATTCAGCAGTTGGTGAAACGATGTCTTCAATTCTTCCCCTTGACATAATGTCATTTAAAATATCTTTATCCATGGGGAAGGCCTGATTTCCCACATTTCGTGTCAACTCTCCGATAGGGGTATTCCAGTTAGCGAATGGACCTGATGTAACCACACCATTAGGGGTCCCCAAAAATTCATCTGACCAAAGATAAGAACCATCATCGCCCAATTCTGCTTCAATGGTATTATCGATGTAGGGAATACAAACTCCAGGCACTTTGCTTTGTAAGGCTCTTTCATACCTAAATTTGTATAAATTCGAATCATTAATTTTTCATGCTGCATTCAATTACTCAATTTCGATAAAGTTACAAAAGTGTCTCGTATACATTGCTTTTTATTTTTCTCCCAAAAGACTACTACGTATTATAGAGGAGTTTTACTTGTCCTCGTAACCTTGTAACTTATATATATATTTTATCTTGTCACTCGAAAATTCAACTTCAAATTGTTACGTAAATCATATTTAATAGCTGTTTCGTTGTGGGTTATCAAATGTGTGTCAAGAGTGTATTCTGAATCAGATTTTATGAAATAAGAACTTACATAACAAGATACATTCGATGCCAGCCCAAAAATCCGGGACCACCATGAGCTCGAACAGAAGCATCGCCAACATGGAACATAGCCACAGCGTCGTACATATTTGGTGTCATCGTCTACAAAAATATATAGCAATTGAAAATCACCAATATAGATACCTGTACCATCTATAATAATAATAAAAAATTGTCCTTCCTTTCGAATGGAAAGCCTGCGATCTTTCGTGCGTTTGCCTTTTGTATGATGCCACACGTCGGGTCAGGAATGGACAAATAAATTTCATTTTTACATGGGCAGCTATATAATATATATATGATAACACTTACTGTATCCTGTTTTAAGGCGTTGATTGCATTATGATAGTTGTCTCGTTCTGCGCTTGTTAACATTCGGTATTCCTTTCTAATACATGTGCTTCCCCCTGCTTGACGTTTCACCCTACGGTTAATGAGAGGTTCCGCTAGACGTCTATAATCTCTTCTGTTTGGGAGTACCATTGGTTCGGCGGGTGGATTCATGCGACCTCTCAGCGATGTTTCGCAGTACCAACATAATGATTTACCAACAACGGAGGCCAGTGACTTTCTGGAATATTTCTGGTAGCATTCTTTCAACTGTTTAGGCAAAGGGGCCTCTCTGATTAAAGGTTCTACATCTGTTACGATTGATAATAATAGCAGCAAGGACAGTGCTATCCTCATTTGAATTCTGAAACGGTAAGATACTAAGGGGTTATAAGTAATTGGTTTGAGGAAGTTTCAGTAAAGCCAAGACGAAATTTAATTACAAATAAGTTAAGGATGCTTGGCGTATATAAAAAAGTTTCCCTGTTCAAAACCTATATGCTGTCCTGGAAGAAAAGAGGCTCTCTTGCCTTTTCAATGTGTGTATTAAGAAAATCCTACCACTACGATATGAACCATTCAAATGAAATATAATTTGCGATAGTAACATGAATATCTGGTTATTTTTTCGGGGTGTATTTTCATGAACCAAAGAAGCTGGACCGGTAATCATGATGGCGCAATTGTCCCCAACTTGCTCGCAAGGGAAGAACATCTCTTTACATTCCAGTGCCATATTTGTCCGGTCTTGGTGCTAATGATTATTAAGTATTATTTATTTTGCGCTGGTTTCTACATTTAATGACTCAAGCGAAGGTTTAAACTGGACTCCTGTTGTGTTTCCTTATCGCTATACTTCGGGGCGAAGCTTTAGATGGAATGGTGGACCAGTTTAGCGAAAGTTGCAAGACATCTTGTTGGATGGAGTGAATTAAACCATTTTGCCAATAAAAAGTCAAACCAGAGTACGTATATTCTGAAATATGTATATCATAGTTGCAAGGAACAGTTATAAACAAAGTTTAAAAATATTTTGACTGTTTTTGAAAAATTTATAACCAAATTAAGTTCATAAAACAATGTTACTCCTTCCAGTGACATTCATGGACAAACAAAATTTGACATCGCAATATTAACAGAAACCCATACATTGTTATGAGAAAAGTAATAATTTCTGTTTTTATGATCATTACACACTACCCGTTTAACATAGTTTATAAAGCTAACACACTACCCGTTTAACATAGTTTATAATGCTAACACACTACCCGTTAAGTTTATGATGCTAACACACTACCCGTTTAACATAGTTTATAATGCTAACACACTACCCGTTTAACATAGTTTATAATGCTAACACACTACCCGATTAACATAGTTTATAATGCTAACACTACCCGTTTAACATAGAAAAACGCTTACCTTGGAGAATAGATAAATAGATGTATAAATGTTGAAAGAATTGAATAATTATGCTGAAGTTTGCGACGAGGAGAGATATAAATGAAAAATGATTAACTTTTAAGGCTTCACAATATTTCACCTGGCTTGAAATAGGTAAGTATATTTCGTCACACGCACGTAAAACCTGTCAAATTTGATGAGGGTTAAGACAAAGTTGTATTATAATTGATTGCTTTGACTATATATTTGACAAGGAACTTCACTAATTTTTGACAGTTACTATAACGTTCAAATGATTTATTTAATGACGTATTGTAATGTATGTATATTTTTTTTATGTTTCCTCATACAAATGCAGCTATGTTTGAAAAAGTTTCATATTAGCTCTTATAGATTTTATAGTTTCAAAAAAAGAAAGGTGAGCTGTAAATTTCCAGACGATTAGACAGCCTAATAAATCACTCATAATCATTCAGAATCTTACTTAGGTAACATTTTTTAATTCAAGTTAAAAAAAAGTTATATCGCCTACTTTAAAGAGAATTAAGAGGATGTCTAGTCTTCTGATGCCTTCTGTAGTTCCAGACATCTTTACCAGACCACAACGACACTATCCGAAATACGGTTTGCTAATGTTACTTTCAATAGTAACTTTTCTAGTTTTGGATCTTAGACGACGGGATGTTAAAACAATCAAAACTGTCCATGATTTGGCTACTACGAATAAATGGTAGTCGTGGGTCCTAATCTCGGTCTGTATATGAGAGTATTGTGACCTTGAATGAGTCATCTATCCTTGTTATTCCAGACCTACCCGCTGTAAATGGTTACAGATAATCTGAGGAAGATCAATGCCCAGCTGGTAGAAAAGATCTTAGTGAACCTCGGTTGTTATTCTTTTAAAATTGGTTGTTTCTTTCATATTTCCTTCTTCCTGGATGTACAGGATTTGTGCATATAAACGCTATACATGTCCCGGATACGGACAAAAAAAAAATCACTATTGAATCGCTTTAAACTTGCTCCCTCCAGCGATAGAAACTTACAGGATAGCCCTTAAAAAACTAAAAAATTCTTTGATAGTTATTTAAATACAGCTGCAGGTATTTTGGTTTATTTTCCATGGGTTACTTGGTTTGTCAACTTCATATCCATTTTGGAGAGTGCACTTGCTTAACATTGTTTACTTGGTATATTTATTACTCCATTCATATTTAAGGATGTGGAGACATTAACGAGGAAGTCAGGTCAACCAATCAAGTTTTCTTTTAAACTAGAGTTTGTCGACTATATTCGGGTTTTGGGGATATTCCTCTCTGTAAACATTAAGAATCTTAATGATATTTTAGTCCATGATAGACTTAAACCCATAGCTCAATAGAACTTTAATATCAATATATCTAATTATATGTATATATATTTTTATTTCCTCTCCATTTTAATTTGATACTCTCTCTTTAGTTAATAGGATGTTGGTTACAGAAACAGAAAACGACGAACTACATTCACATTAATATATATACTCTATTATTTTAGAATTTGTCAATTTGTTATTAGTATTTCTTTATAATTTAATTTCATTACTTTATTAATATCAAGCTGAATTTTCACCTCCGCCTGTGCTATCGTGACTTCACTTATATGTTGTTGTTACAACCACTCTTACCCACTTTTAAGTTTGACAATATATTTGATAGGTATATATCAATCATTGCGTCAGTAGCGTCTCAATGTCATGTTAATTTGAAGGGTATTATAACGAAACGTTTATAGTTCACGTCCCAGGTGCATAATAATAAATTTTAAAAGCATTTTTAAAAATAAATTGGATTCATTGTATAATCTTTTTAGGAAAAAGAATTTAAATACCAGACTCCAAAGTGGACACGGGACGACGGTTTATTGTCCTATCCGAACGACTAGACATGTCAGTCCCTCCGATCTACATCACTGACAGGGGGAAACTGTGTTTTATAATCATATGCGGGGATTGAACCCTCAGGTTTGCGAACAAGTGTGTAACTCACTAGACTTCACCTTAAGAATTCTGACTAAAAAAATTAAGATCGGAACTGTAGTCTCTTGCGCGCTCATGGGCCAATCATAAAGTATTCTGGCTAAGTCAGGGGCAATAGCTCCAAAAACGTTCATGGAAAATTCATTCGCTCGACCTCATCAGAAGCATAGCAACGTTTACAAGACAATTTTCAAGTATTTTTGCTAAGTCAAGGGCAATAACTCAAAAACGTTCATTGAAAATTAACGAAGTCGACCTTATTCGTGATCTCATTAATATACATAAGCCACATCCGATCAGGCCTGTAGTTCAAAGACAAATTTTTGACGTCTTTTGACTAGTTTGAGACGAATATACATATATATCATATCAGCACAAGTATAGAAAATTTCGTCAATGTGAGATCCTGAACTGTAGAGTAAGAACTGTTTTGTTGTGGTCTCAATTACTTGAAATGTTCTTCTCTGCCTTTACACAGTAATTTTAATTAATATCGACAGCGAAGTTTTACACCCGATGACGTATTAGCTCACGTTGCGAATTTTTGTCGTAGATGATGCGATAAAGTACCAATAGGCCAACCACCGAAAAGGTTAATGCTGTTGTATTTACTTCTCAGAAAGACATACAGAGAGGATCGTTGGGCTAATCGGAATTCGTTGTCAAGAAGTTGGATAATGCACCGGAAAGATAAAGATGCCTACTCGAACCTCGGTCGTAGTCGTAGGACTGCGGGTGATGGTTGAGCAGTGTATATAATAATGATCTAACACATCAGTTACTTCCCCTTTTGATCCGGCAGAAAAATTTAAGCGTTCTCAGTGAAGATTGGAAGCGTACATTCCTGCTATTGTTATAAATTCTACCGTCATTGATTCCCTGGCGGTGCATCTTTCACACCTATAGTAATAAAGTAAAATGTTTCTAAACATACCAAAACTGTAAGAGTTGTAACCCTTGAAGTGAGCTACGTCCCTTGCCTCGAACGTTGGAACAAGCATGGTTCTGGCGATACTATTACACCCATTGCAATGAAAAATGAATATACATGTTGTAGCTAAACACCATTCACAGTTTAACAATTTTTTTATATCATATATCGCTAACAAAGAGTTAAAACGTAAGAGTTACCTCCCTTAAAGTGAACATGTCAATTATATTTATTTACATAAAAAGAACAAGAAACGCCAAGAGTTGTATCCCTTGAAGTGAAAATCATGATAATATCACTTTATAAGTGAGGTATAAACAGTGTGCATCCAGAGTTCGAGACTCTTCTGAAATGATGCAACAACCACTAAAGCTTATGTCTTCAAGGATAGAAGAAGGCACAAGCAAATTCAAAAGACTGAAACTGAATAAATATTACATTTTTAAAAGATTAGTTTTCACATTTGAAAGTGTGTTATATATGCCATAAACATGATATATTTTCTCTATCCTTCCTTCCCCATTGAGAGAGCTTTAAGTGTTCCTACGACTAACATCTGTGATCAATTTAAAAACCTGGTTTGCAACAACTAGTTTGGAATTGGGAGTCCAAACATGGTAGTAATCACTCATGAAAGCACGTGCAGTATGAGCTACGACATCATATCGAGAACAGTGAACATTGAAAGTCTATATCAATGCAATTGTCTTCACATCGGCGCCTTATACACTTATTGAAATGAAATTTAAAAAGGTTACCAAACACTCTTCTAAGTGAAAAAAGTAAACATATCAAAAAAACTGTAAGAGTTACATCCCTTAAAGTGAGCAAGTCAAATGTTTGTAAACAACAGAGAAAATAAAACAAAGCCATGAGTTACATCCCTTGAAGTGAAAATCGGAAAGTATTACTTTTAGTTGATGATAAGTAACTACTGATGAAAGCATTTGCAGTCCGTATATTATTGAATCAACATCGTCACGAGTTGCATATCATTAGGTGTAGAAGGATAGGATGTATAACTCCATTTATTTCATTTCATTTTCCTAACGCACTGGCTTCAAGTATTAGCTGCGGCACTGAACATTACATTGGATGCGTTCATTACCAGTTATTTTATAAATGCTTCTGTTGACCAATTGTTAAAAAAAACATACACTTCACAACCTTAGAAATTGAAGTGAAAATGATTGATATAATAAACATACACAAACTGTAAGAGTTACCTCCCTTGAAGTGAACACGATAATTCTGTTTAAAATCATACAAAACAAATACGAAAAACCGGTATTCCGCATTGCTACTTTTTTGGACGATTCAATCCTGATAAGCTAGGTCGAGATGATACAGAGCCTACTGGTTAAATACCCCTCATCATCTGGATTGACGTATGCCGGTTTCCTGATAAAAGGAGTATCTTTCATCCTAGGTTTGAAGGAAATTCGGACATATTTTGGTTGATTTGTATCTGATATATATAGCAGCATAACTGGTCTTACGGGATCTCTTGATCAACGGATATCGGAATAGTGCTAAACGAAGATATAATTGTATCCGATCGACTTAATTTGATTGCATGATCAAATCCTAAAGCTTACAACCACAAATAAAAAATGTTTGTTTGTTCGAGTTATATTGTATTTCAGTAGCCTTGAATTAACAATATTCATTTTAGATAGTAATGTTGACAAAACTATATGCAGATTTCCAATGTACATATTTGTTAGAATAAGACACTGTAGGGATTAAACTTGATGATAGGCTACAAACAGCATGGTTCATATATACTGAAAGGCAAAAGAAACGTTATGTGGATGTATCATATATCGGGTATCCCAAAAATAACGTCCTAAAGTTCGACGGGTAGTATCTCAGCTGTTGGTAAACTGACCTCTTGCAAAACTCTCACATATACTTCAACCACCGTTTTTTCCATCCCAAGATGCTGTTTCGGAACTCATCTAAAGGTATCTGCTCCAAAGAAGCGACAATCCTTCCTTTCGGTTCCTGTTCCGTCAGTTTGTCCCGTTGACACCTTTTCCATAAGAGAATCCCAAATGGCATAATCCATTGGATTACAGTCTGGGTTTGGGGCGGCCAGTCATTCTTGTGAATAAATTCCGCTGTAGCCTCCTTCATGCTTGGGATACCATGTTAGTATGCGATGGGGCCCCGTCTTGTTGGTATCTATGGGTGAAAGATCAGTTCAGATACTAACCGTCGAACTTTAGGACATCCGATATATATCTTAATATTCAAATGATTATTTATGTAAATAAAAACATCGGCGCAATTCAGTATTAAATGGACTCTTAAGACAACAAAAAAGCAGCAGGTTTAGAGGTCAGGTGATTGATTCTCCCAAATTTACAGGTCTAGAATGTAACAAATACTTCATTAAGAAAAGGGAATAAACGGTCTGGAACTGCTGGATATAACACGCCCAATAGGGCCTCCCCGTGAAATGCCCCTGATCATCTGCATTGCCGAATGCCGCTGTCCTGGTAAACGTAGTACCTTTTTTTCTGATCTGAAAGTAGATAAAATAATGGGCGAGAGGTAACAGTGCTACATACATTTTTGGGTTTTTTTTGCCGTTCGGTATCCCTTAACATGAAAACTTGTTGAGAATGAGAATTTTCAGAAAGATTTAAGTATTTAAGTATATAGAATCAATGGCTAGTGTTCCTTTTGTATGTTTTTCCTTTTAAATATTAAGATGTTGACATTAAAAAGTTCCAAACCATGTTATGCTCCTCTTGTTTCACTGTCATTTTCGGATCATGCAACTTTGCAAGTATCAAGAAGACCGAAGTCGAAATAGAAAATGGGGAAAATACTGTCTAATCGGATACAACCAAAATTTACCTTAGTTCTTTTCTGCGTCTTCTGTGGCAGAGAAGCAAATACATCGGAAGATTTGTAGGTTGGTTGGCCGCTTAGGCTATTCCGCTGCCAGGAGAGGTAGCAGGATAGTAGATGAGGATTATAACTTGGACACCAACCGAGTGAGTTTTCATTATCATACGAAGTTGATTAAGCTTCTTGCAAGAAACCGAACGGTGCTGTTTTGCTGTTGGGCTTCTTCTTCTTAATGGTGAAAGTTCATTTGTATTGATACATTTGTAGATTTTAGAAGCACATATGCCGAGGCGCGAAATGCTAGAAAATTTAAGATAAAAGTATTTGGATGCGAAGTTCCTCATATGGACTTTTTGTTGAAGATAACCATCCCTGTTCCATAACACACCAAGATTAACATAATGGGTTAAGGGCAAACGTGAATTAATGCTACTTACTTGGAAAATGATCATTAGTAATGCACGACATTGGGCACCAATTTGCAAGAAAGCATGAGTCTTTACACTTAAAGGCTTGTGCTTTAAAGCAATGAAATGTCGACTTAACAGACTTTTGACAAATCCGAAAGAAGAATGCCGATATCGAATCAACCAGTACCTTCAAGATGGTGTTCAAGCATCAGACTCACCGAGCAACCATCGTTTGTAATCTTGGAAAATTTCAATGAATATTGATTGCATTTTTGAAAACGTTTCATCTTCATACTTCTGAAAAATAAGGAAAACGGGTGACATAAGTTCCACATACAATTTTGTATTTGAAGGCACTTTAAAATTAATTTCACCAACATAGCAAATTTTAGAAACTTTCATATTTCACATGCCATTATATGCCTTAATACCGATACCAGGAACGACTGGATAATTATTACTGCATTTGCATACGAGCAATAGTATAAATTTAAGAGCTCCCTAATCGGATTTTTATTCATCGTTAAAGGTGAGAAAATTGCTTTCCACTCTGATTGTGGTGTAAGAGCGCATCGACAAGAAATATGTAAAGGTATAAACCTAGTATATACGTAAATTATGGAAATTCAGAGGTATAAGTAATTTGTTTAACAAGTTTAGAAGTTCATTGCATGGCATTTTCTAGATTCTGGTTATAATGCTTGGCATGGTAAATATGATATGATGGAATTGTGAATAAGTTTGCGTATTTCGGGTTCCAAGTCATATCCATATCCAAAGAATGAGCTCTGGTCGACCATGCATCTTAGAGATCAACTTGATATTCGACGACCATCAGCAACTGAGGAAATATTTTGAGAATCTGGATTTAGACGACCAGAGCACACCGAAAAATTCAAGTTAGTTGCTTATGCACTACTTTTTGGAATCAATTGCAACTTGTCATCGATCGGAGTGGTCTGAACCTACAGCCATTAAGTTGATTGCAATTACCTTACTAAAATTCTACTCTTTGGAATCAATTGGACCTTGTCATCGATCGAAGCGGTCGGAACGTCCAACCATTTTGTTGTTTGCAATTGCTGATGTTCTACTTGTTGGAATCAATTGCAGCTTGTCATCAGCGGAACCTGCAACTATCCTGTTGATCGCAGTTGTTGGTAGTCTGTTAATTTGCCTGTTAATTTCTCCATATGAACGTTTAGCTCTTGTCGACTGCAACGGATGAGATTAAATGCTTTGTATTACCAGACAACCTGAGTCATCCTTACAATTCATTTCCTTACGATAAGTCCATTTAATCTTCAAAGCTTAAGATTATTTCATAAATATAATCCATAATATCATTTTATATTACTAATATCTATTGAATATATAAACCGCCCACCAGTCGTGAAATACAATGACAAATCTATAAATAGCCGCGTCTTTTAGGACAGTATATATCTACATCCTCTCGTATTCATGAGCAATATTTATGATTTTTTCCCATCATTAAAAAGCCAATTTTAACCGTTAGTGTAGTAATTATAAAGAGAGGCGTACATTAAGGGACCTGTACCTGGTCGATTTCACCTGTCACATGACTAATACTGCGCCCTCTATACTTAAAACATGTCGCATTGTGTCAGCTCAAAACTCACATAATTATGTAGGTCATATAAGGTATGTTTTTATTAATTGATTATATTAGATTTATTGTTTTTGAAATTTGATTAATTACAAAATCAAAGGACTAATTAAAATCATGACTAGAGTTTAGTTGGTGAAATTGTATCTAATTTGACAGGAACGAGCAGGGATGGGTTGTTTTTGACATTTTGTCGGTACACCTAATTTTCACCTGTTTACTTCTGGCCCACCCTTCAGTACTCGTAGGTTGATGTACAAATTTTGCCCCATTTACCACCGCTAGATTGGCATAGATGGAGGAAGTGGCTGATTCAAAAATTTTATTTATTGATGTTTTTGAGGGTTACTTGTCATATGTAAACAATGTTGTTATTTTTGTAGACTAATTGATTGGATTATCGCCCTTTATAAATGTCATACCGGTTATGGCAGTTTTAATCTATAGGTTGCAGATTTTTATCCAGTAGCCCATTATCTAATTTAGAATCTTTATAGTCTATAGTTGGATTAATATCTCAAAATGTTAATATTGTGCATAGGGGAGGTCCAGAAATTTCAATATTCAAATCACTGGGTAAATAGCCTTACATTATATTCTATCAAAAAATCTACAAATAGTCAATAAAATGTCACAAAAAGAAAAAGGCAAATTAATTGGACTCTTTTTTATTGTTTAGACTCAATTTGTCCAGTTTTTGTGAGGTTTGAAGTTTTGTTAGGTTAAGTTTGTTGTGGGCTGGGTGATAATGGTCCAAGTGGATATTGCACATCGCACCTTATTGAAACAAATATGCCAGTGACTGCATGACAGACAGTTTTGCCTGTGTATTTATACAGCTAGTCTGGTTTCAATTTGTAAAATGTTTGGAATTTTTAAGTGAATGATTATTGCCATACTGATAAATATACTTAAACAACTAAAAACATTACCGGGAATCATTTTATGGATGTAGGGTTTAACATGTCTAGTTGTGGTAGTTGTAAGAGGTTGAACCATGAAACTGGATTGACGCTCTGAATCACTGGCTGTGGTATCAGAATTTGTTCTTACTTGGTTGGGTATTCCAACTCATGGCACCTAATCCCAAGCAGTTGAGAATCCAACTGGCTATATTTGGATGACAACTATTGAAATTATGATTGTGATTTTCTTTCACTTCAGGTTGTATTAATACAATGAAGTAGGTACAATACACAATGATCCCTTCCTTCCAAGTTCCTATTTTTCCACATTAGCTTGACGTATCTTCAACCCACAAATATGACTGATCATCATGAACTTGTAGCTGAAATGCCATCCATTGAAAGGATGGCAACACAAGATCGCTTAAAACATGCCAAAAAACGCAGGTCCCAACAAATGAAAAAATGGACTCAATATGAGAAACATCTGGATAAAGAACATTCCAAGAAAAGAAAAAGTGGTCATGGCAGTGTTGATGTGAAAAAACAGAAAAGAAAGAAAAGAAATGTGATATTTGTACCTAATATTTCTTTATTGGAAGCTGCCGCTAGAAATGATGTTGAAGAAGGTAATATTGAAGTCTTTGACTTACTGTTATCCAACAAAACACAATTTAAGCTGAGGATCACTTAGGGTGGTTCACAGATTAATTTGTGGTTCTGATTTCATATGGATAGGTTCACCAAATGGCTTCTGGAGACTAAAAGTCGTTTTCCACTATGTCGATAATCATGTGCGGATCATGCAATTGAAAGGAAAATGAATCTGAATGGATGATAACGCTTTTTCTTGCAGACGATAAAAAAGTCACTGACAACTATCAAACCGGTTAGATGTTATTAATCATGTTGGCTACGCAATAATCTTATCTTGGAAGTGTTGGCACACATGAGATTTTACTCAAAATTTGCGCCAGCGACAAAAATCGGCGACCAAGACTGTTTATGTGTCCACACCATAAGTGTCCCCTATCCAGGTACAGATCCATATAAGACCGTCTTGAATCAATCCTTATTGTATTTTACAGTCAGATCATTACTAGAACAAGGTGTTAAACCAGATTTAACTAATGATGATGGGTTAACAGCAATACATCAGGTATATTTTTTTAATCTTTGGAGATAAAAAAGTCGAAACATAAAATAAATTGAAAGTTTGATACTGAAGCAATCTATCTGACAACAGAAAAAACTGACATTTTGAAATTTTTAGGTATGGCTTAGTTCTGGAATGATCCACTTTTTACGAGTGAAAGTTGTACAATCTGTATCTCCTGTTAGTTATTTTCATCAATGAAAAATTGCTGGTGCACATGACAGAAAGCTACGTGGTACAGCTTCAAAATTGAAATATGTAGTCAAGAAAAATGTACATTTTATTTTGTAGTGTTGTATAGATGATAGTGAAGAAATGCTTAAATTATTATTAGAATATGGTGCTAATGTAAATGCTCAAGACAGTGAACACTGGACTCCACTACATGCCGCTGCTACTTGTGGACATGCTCATTTATGCCGTCATCTGATAGAAAAGTAATATATTCTTTTCATTTAGTATCTATTCCTTAGTGCTATGGGCAGACTTAAGTTCAGTTAGTTAGCTTTGAAATCTTATCTCATCTTGTTATATTACTTGGAACAATATTGTGGTTGTTGGATCAAATCTTGGTCCAGGCATATAAATCTGATGGGCTTGATTTTTAAGTTAACCAGCTGTAAAGGGGAACAGATGGTAATTCAGTAAAGATCAGCATAAAGAGATTTGGCAAAAAAAACTACTACTACTAGCATTGCATCCTTACATAATTTGATATTTCTTTCGTATATAGAGCTAGGGTTTCTCAATTCTCAATGTTTGTTTTGTTAGTGGAGCTGATTTGCTAGCTGTTAATTCTGATGGTAATATGCCTTATGATATTTGTGAAGATGATGCAACGTTGGATTATATTGAAACTGAGATGGCTAAACGAGGTAATTCAAAATTTGATCTCTGATATTTTTTTGCGGATTTTTGAGTTCTGTCTGATTGTCATCTTCTTGGTCTGTTTTTGATATCAATTCTCCAACAGTTGTTTTTCAGTTCAATAAAGGACCAAGTTTTTCGGCTCTATTTCTCATCTTATGTTGATGAAACTTGGTTTGCTTATGTACATTGCTGAGATCTTAAATGAGTTGACTTTTCACAATAATTTTTCACTTTTTGCCTGCTCTTAGCATCCTCTTATGGCAAATGGCATGATTAGCTGGAGTGTAAAAATTTCTATGGAGTTCAGCATTCAAATTTTTGCAAAGAATGAAATTGTCCAGTTGATGATGGACAAGATTTTGTTGAAAATTGGTAGTAGGCTATACTTATTTAGCCTCACATGCCTTGTGATGCAGATCACACATCTAAATAAACCCTATGTGTCAATGGATATCGGTTATAGGCTGGATATCAAATGATGGTTTGACTCCACTCAATATCGAGATACAAAATCATCTGTTTGGGATAAATATCTTAATCCTACTATTGATTTGATTATTTTAAGAGTTTAATAATTATCCATTCATTGAACTAGACCTATTGCATCATGTTTGTTTACCTTTGAAAATTGATAATTTTTATCTCCTTTAAATTGATTTGATAAAAGTGTGTTTTTGAATTGTTTATCCACTCAGTAGACTAGACCTACTGCAGCCTGTTTGTTTACTTTTATTACCTCCCTTGAAGTGTGACTTAATATTTATCCATTTATTAGACTAGACCTACTGCAGCCTGTTTGTTTACTTTTATTACCTCCCTTGAAGTGTGACTTAATATTTATCCATTTATTAGACTAGACCTACTGCAGCCTGTTTGTTTACTTTTATTACCTCCTTTGAAGTGTGACTTAATATTTATCCATTTATTAGACTAGACCTACTGCAATCTGTTTGTTTACTTTTATTACTTCCCTTGAAGTGTGATTTAATATTATTTAGCGTTATTATCTCCCTTGAAGTTTGTTTTAAAAAAGTTTGAAAATGATCAATTCATTAGACTAGACCTACTGCAGTGTGTTTGTTTACTTTTACTTTTAAAATTTGGATTAATATTATCTCCCTTGAAGTGTTTGCTGAAGTATATTCCAATTATATTTCTTATTTTGTTGTCAAATTATCTCCCTTGAGGTTTGTTAGATAACTCTTCCCCTACTCTAGGATTTCATAAATGTTTAATGATAGGTATAACACAAGAAGAAATAGATGACAAAAGATTAGCCAGTGAGAAATATGTTTTAGAAGACTTAGAAAAAATTAAGGCTGCCAACAAAAGTTTAGAATTCCGAGACCATATTGGTGCCACTCCGGTAATAATACATTTTCTCATGCGTTCATATCTGTCTATTTGGAGAGATACTCAAACCAAAGAAATTCAAATGAGGCTTTCTTGTCTTTGTAATCAGAAAAGCCTACTTATGTATTCCATGTTCATCATTCCCATGACCAGATTAATACTTTGCTCTCAAAAATAAGACTTAAACCCTGACTAGTTGTTGTTTTTTTGTTTAAAATGGAATGAAAATTGATTCATTATGTTTTGAAATTTATTTTTTGTTGAATATTTTTGTAGCTACATATAGCAGCTGCTAATGGTTATCTTCAAGTAGCTCAATATTTATTAGATAATCATGTAGCTGTTGATATTAGAGATCATGATTCCTGGCAACCTATTCATGCTGCAGCTTACTGGGGACAGGTAGGTGTGCTTTCTCTTGCTATTGTGACATAATTCACAAAAACGACTCTTCTTGCACTTTACAAGTTAATAAGAGTTGTATGGATTTAAAATGTTAGCTATCAGTCTTAAAATTCAATTGAACACGATTTAAAGATGGATTTTATGAGATGGCAAAAGTTGAGCCTCAAAGAGAAATAAATAAACCATCTAGATTTTTTCTTGTTTTAACAATATTTCCTAGAATCTACACATGTATCAGTTTTTTAGAATGAAAATGAATTAATGTTATATTTGCAGCCTGATTTAGTTGATATTCTTGTTCAAAATGGAGCAGATATTGATGCTAAAATAAAAAGTGGAGAAACACCTTTCGGTAATTGTTGGCTTTAGTATATTTTATTTTTATTACTTCATCTATTAATGCCAATTATTAATTAAGTCTAATTAAAATTTCAAAAGTTAAGAGTCCATACATCAAGGCATCATTAAGACACTAAGCTTGATCCAATGCTGATTTGAAGATGGGAGGCATAAGTTTGTTTTGCTGATTGTGGCTTAAAAAATGACGGTATCTTCATAAAATGGGCTGACCATCTAGCAGGAAGTAGCCCAGGGTAAAACCAGGGTTTTCTGATGTTACGGTTAATATTATTAATATGGAAATTCGTCATAACATAGACCTTAAAATCAAAAAGATCATCAAGAAGGTTTCTCTGGTACCTCTTGAGGTTTCCCCATCAAAAATGAAAATCCCAAGTACTAGTGATCCAAACCACAAAACGAAACTCGATATCCAAATCAAGTTTGGCAATGCAGTAAATGCACTAATCATAATATAAAGAATTATATCCATTATAAATAAGGAGATATACCCTGCCTGGTGACACACCAATTATTGCTGCTTAATATTACACACAAAATGGAAGGTAAAAACAACCCCAAATTGGTACAATGACCAAATTTCACAGCTACATAGGTAAATAAACTCAATTAGAAAGCTGACCTGAATTCATTTTTCTACAGACCTGTGTGAAGATCCTGAATTGAAACAGAAGATATTAGATGTAAAAGATGAAATAGAGACCAACAGAGCTAGCCGTGGTGGAAAAAGTTCACACATCAAACATAGAATCAGTTCCAGAAGGTATTATTTTGTTTTGATATCTACAATTACATGATTTATATCATGGTTCCATATTTCATGGATATTGGTATGAACAATTTGGTATTGGAGAACCACCTCAGCTCCCTTTTGCTACTGGATTAATTCAAAAGAGTTCCCACCCTTTGCATGTGTAATCATTCTAATTTCTGGTGCAAGGTCCATGGTTTCTGCTCCTCAAAGGTTGAAGAAACGTTTGAAACCCTTTGAATTGGTTGATTTTTTTAACCTGTTCGAGAACAATGTGCCATTGTGAATCGACTCCCGTGAAACTGTATTCACAAGTTTGAATTTTTACAGTGCATCATTAAGAAGAAGTAGTTTAAGAGGTGATAAAGGAAGATTGTCCTTGAAGGAAGCTAAAGAAGAAGCTTTACATTTTGGTTTACGGTTGTTACAAGATGAAGAGGACTTGAAGGTAAGTCTTTGAACTCTTGTGCTATCATAATCTGAGTCCTACAATACAATACATTAGATTTGAATCAAATTCAACACTACGTGAGTTTAAAAGCAAAACTGAATTTTTAATGATAACATAATCAATAGATGATGATCGAATTGTCCCTGATGAGCGTCATAGCTTTTTGAAAGCTCTTACCAGCATCTTTAGCTTCCATCTGAATTCAGTGTGGATAAAATCCATTATTAAAGATCTTGTTGTACTACGTATGAATCTTTGATGACTATTAGAATTTGGGCGCCTTCCTCCTTACTGTTTGCGGGATATTTATGCTTTTGTTAATGTACCGTATGTGGTTGATTTTGGAACAGATGATGCGCATTTTACCAACTGTAGGACCTATGGATACAGCTCATATTTTGGCCAATGACATTGGACACTTTGATTTAATTTCTTTTAGGAAATCGATGAGGATAAAGAAAATGTACCAGCCACAAATATTGATGATGTAGAAATACTCTTCAATCCAGAAGAGGATAATAAACATCACAAAGAGGGTAAAAATCATCACCATAACGATCAGAAATCAAAATCAAGCAATCATCCAACATCTGCATCATCTGCATCAAAATCTCATCCAGAATCAATTTCGCATACAGGAGACAAAAATAAATCTCATTCAGCCGACAATCGACACACGAAACCCGCAACTGTTTCACAACCAGCCAATAAATCCCATCATACAAACCCAACTTCCAACAATCAAATCAGTAAAATTCAGGTGACACAACCCAAACATCAACAGGCGCCAACAAAACAACAGTCAGGAGCAGCTCCCAAACAACAACAATCAGGAGCAGCTCCCAAACAACAACAGCCCACCACAGCTACAAAGCAACCAGCTGCGGCTGCTAAGCAACAACAGCCAGCAGCACCTAAACAACAGCCGGCTGCACCCAAACAGCCAGTTGCTCCAAAACAACAGCCTGCTGCACCTAAACAACAACCTCCAGTTGCTCCAAAACAACAACATACAGCTGCCCCTAAGCAACATCCCGTATCTGAACAAACAGTTTCACATCATATTCAGCAAGGTTCATCAAGCAATGAAAGTGCCAATCGAGGAGATGATAACCAGAATGATCCAAGACAATCACTAGCATCATCAGCAAATAACAACTCGGGATCAACACTAAATGATTTGAAACGTCATCGAGCTGAAAACCGCAAAGATAACTTAGATGCTCAAGTGCAGAGTATGTTCGTGGAAAGAGCTCAGAGTTGGCACATTCCATATTCTCCCAATAGTAAAACATCCAATGGACATAATAATAATAATACTTATTCCCAAGAAACAAAGAAACGTTTTGTAGCGCCCTCTAATGTGGCTATAGTTGGCGAAGATGAAAAAACAAATTGTTGTGTTGTTATGTAGATTATTTTGGGGTATCAATTGAAGATAAACACCGCGCCGATTGAAATATTAAGACTTGTGCAGAATAGATGCACCATGGATTATTCAATTTAGGACTAAAATTTTATATTTATATTACGGAAGATATTGGTGTACGGCCATGGAGGATAAAAATGCACTTAGCATTTAATTTGAGAAATATTTTGAAGTAAAAAGTTTAAATCGTTATCGGAATCATATCCATTTTGTTTTTTTTTGTTGTTTAAATCTTATAAAGTGCACTTGTAGTTATTATGTTTCATGCCTTGTCTTTGTGTTGCTCCATTTGCCAATCATGATCGGACGAAATTGTAATGAAACACATGATCTAGGTCATCAAAATATTCAACCTATCAAAAGTTATGTTAAAAAACATATGTTGTAATTTTTAAACTATTGTTTTTGATCGACGATGAACGCATTTCGTTTGACAACTTTTAACACCATTGGAACATAATTCCAATGAACACAATTCAAAGAAGGATTCTTTCAGATCATGGATGTAGAAACAGAAAGCACAAGAAATGAAACATCTGCATTGTATTAAGATAATAAGAAATAGGTCCATATACTAATAAGTTTTATATCATTTCGATATAAAAAAAAAAATTGTAAATACTTATATACCCAGTAGAAAATATTTATATATTGTAAATACAAGTATATTAAGTAATTAATATAATTATAAATTGTAATATAACTATTGTAAAGTTCAAACAGTTATTTTAATAGTATTTTATATTTTATCTATTTATAAAAAAAACTTTTTAGAATCTTCAGAAAAAGGTATATATTTGTATAATTAGATGTATATTTCACTTTGTAGACCAATGATCAGATAGTTATGGGTCAATTTTGCACCGATTATTCTTAATATTAAAATTGGTTATTCTGAAATATAACTGGATATTATAACAGCTTGGCGATATTTACTACTATTATTTATACTTTAAAATAGTTTTTTAGTATTTGAATTACATCACTTTGAAATCAGTTTTTACAAAGGACATTTTTCAGTTAATAATGAAACAAACTTGGGAAAACAGGATCGGTTTTCTGGCTCTTTTGTGTGTATTTGTGACATTTATTGTTTCCGGCATCGTCATACACAACACGTTGTATTATTGAAAATAAGTGTATCGTGGTCCACCAAATTTTTTTTCGCAAAATTTGGGGAATTTTAACTATTCAAACGATCTTCATCATACGAGAGATTTTACCAGTATGCATGTCTTATTCGAGGAATGTCCCTATACTGTGTTAAAGATTTAACAAGTGTACGGTTGTATATGACTTAAAGATGGGTTTCGTTATATTTTACTGTCAAATTAAGTAAACTATTTGATTAATTGGCGTTGTTAATGAATTATCATGTATTCTTAATTATATCATTATGTGCTTATTGCTGTTAATTCCCTTCTCCTTACTGCATGTTTATTCCAAAAGGAATCGAATAGCCATAGAGTCCTATAAAAATAACCAATTGGAAAACTGGCTTCTATGAACCGTGTTGCAATTATTGCTCCTTTCTAAAAATGTTTTAAATTTGACTGTGATAGAAAAAATTAACTATGTATAGGTCAGTATCATTTTATACGCCCACATTTTGTGGACGTATATTGTCGTCACCCATGTAATTTCGTATGTATTGAAACTTTCAGTTTTTTATTAATTAATTATCATTTTAAAACTTTTATTGTTAAGATAAATAAAAGTTGGTTTAATGTCATTTATATAAAATATCGCAAAATTCTTCATATAAATGAAATTCGGGTTTGTTGAGTTTGGAAGCATTTATTTTGAAAAATGTCTCCAGATCATGAAATAGAAGTCTAGAAACCAACAGACAATATAATGCAATATTATGAGCGACGTTTGATTGAGATTCAGAAAAGAATGTTTGTCGCCGAGTTTTGGTGAGATATTGCTTGAAGCGATTTGTTACAAAAAATCAGTATTAATTAAATCACAATATTGTATTTTAAGATATTTTTTTACCGACGTACATATAACATTTCTGACAGATGTTTTCAGTATAAGAGATTGAAAAGGATTTTACATTGTTGTGCATGTATCGTGGACACTTGAACGTCTATTCGAACCATTCGGATTTCCTGTTGGTCCTTTATGGTTCCAGTAATTTCAGACCTAATTGGTATGACATGTCGTTATAATCTAGTTGAGTTTTAATTTCTGTAATGACAGGAACCGAAAACGTCAAATGGGAAATCAAGCATTGAATTATTTATATTTGTATTCTGCTTAAATTAATTGAGAAGTCGATTTTTGAAGAAGGGTATTTATGCAGCCGATTTGTAATATAGCTTAGAAACCATGAAGTGTTCTTTATGTTATGCATTCCATGTAATAAATCTGAATATAGACTTGCCAATATCCACTTTTCATATATTTAGCGTATAATTTAATGGCATGAAGGAGTCTTGTAATTTAATAGTGACATAAAAATGATTGTAATACCACAATTTGAATGGAATAAACCAAGACAAATGAAACAGAATCGTGTTTTACGTTTGCCTACGTCTTCATTGTATCTACATGTAGTCTATAAGACGACAGGGATTGCCAGGTAGAGAGCTAAATGTCGCTATGACCATGGTTTTATCTTACCCTTCTTTAATTTCAGACTGCACACCATGGGAGCTCTGAGTGTACTATCCGACAAGGCAATTCATAGAATTACTGAAATGAAGGTCTTAATGTTTCGGACCATCGTAACTTCGACCTAATTGTCTCTGAAAAAAAGAAACCGACAAAAATTTTCTTTTTGAAAAGTGATTCGGTTTAAATGAAAGGATACTTAGTTTGTCGTCACTTTTGCTCAAAATTTTGAAACTGCAAAACCAGACACACAATTTTCACTTTGAACAGTGAGTAAAAATCATGACGATCTTCAGAATTTGTTAGCTCCCTTGAACTGTCATTCATGATATTTGCATTTCTTTAAGATTTTTAAAATTGTTTGCAAGACTATGTATGTGTATGTGTATCGGAGCTTCTATTTGCGCTCTTCAGATTTCTTGTCTGTCGACTAATGTTCTTGACATTCCAGACCATGTGGTAAATACAATGGTCAGAAGACGTTTCCCACAATTTCTGTTTCTGA